CAAGCCTTTCAGACCACCTAACATGAGGTATAGAGAACTATGTGAATATTTCATTTCATCTGATACACTGGAAGATATACTTGCATTATATCCAAAATTTACTATGTAAAGCTGCCGTAAACAAAAACACAGTGTTATGTAAGCACAGTGGCAAGAGCATATTAACGTATTATTTTTTGTATGATGTATGACATATTTCTATATTACCATGTACTTTTACAGTAGTCACAGACTACTGTACTGTGACAGATATATGTAAAGCTGTAATCATGATTGCCCACGCCTGAGCAGATAGCCAGGGTGGTAAATAAACTTACTTAACTTAACTTAATGTCAGGTTAAGCTCACCTGATACCGTTTTCGTCGCCGTATCATATTGTTAAGTCAAAAAGAGTAAAGATACTTTTTTTACCGACTGCGCGCGCGCACACACACACACACACACACACACACACACACACACACACACACACACACACACACACACACACACACACACACACACACACACACACACTCCCTCTGTAATGTTGTGGTGAGTTCGTGTTCCTCTATGATGCTGGTTTGGTACTTGGGTGATGAGTTTAATTTATCGCAGCCTCTTGTCTTTATTAGCAGTAGCGTAGCGAGGGGGGGGGGCAAGGGGGGGCAGCGCCCCCCCCCAATGCTCAGAAAGTTGGTCTCTGAGAAAAGTGCAAATCTGCAACAAAATTTGTAGGGGGCCCCCCTACAAATTTTATTGCACAAATGGCATAGCTCATTATAAGCCATCTAAAAAAAGCCGTTTTCCAGCATTCTAATGAGCGTGGTCTTAAATTTTCCCGGGGGAAGATTTCCGGACCCCCTGCTATTTTTCTTACCTGTTTGCCCCCCCTCAATCTTCCCGCTGTGGCTACGCCACTGTTTATTAGCATGGGAGTATGATAGTTAGAGTACAGAGGATAGGCCTGGCAGAGACATCGAGACAGGACAGTCGTGCCATGCCCGCCATGGGCGAGCGGTCTGCGTGAGCTTGTGATGTTGACGGAGCCGATGCTGTGGGCAGCGTGTCTTCGGCTCTGAGTTTATATCGTGTCCACTGGTCGTTTTTGTGCGATACAGTTCGACATTTATACTAAACATACGAAAAATGGAAAACAACAATCATTAGTGTGAGGGTCAGTGTAGACTTTCTGTTTTTATGGCACTGTTAGGTTCCTGTGGTCACGTTTGGACGGGGACACTGGATATGTCAGTACAATTAAATCGTAAACATTTGATAACTTCAATATCGTCCATAATAATGATTACAAACACAGTGATTCAGAATAAGGATTTTCTAACAAACATTTTGAGTGTAATTGAGATATAAGTTTACATAAGGGTCGGAGTCGCTTGCTCTGGTGACACTTCGTCAATGTCGCTCCGTTCTGGGCGCAGGTCAAAGTTGTTGCAGGCGGTGACCAGCAGTGTACTAAGTACCATGCGAAGTTGAGGGTGAGTAGAAGGAAGTCATTAAACCCTCCCTCTATCTCTGTCTCCCTCCCTCCTTCCCTCCTCTCTTTCTCTTTCTCTTTCTCACTCGCTCGCTCGCTTGCTCTCTCTCTCTCTCTCTCTCTCTCTCTCTCTCTCTCTCTCTCTCTCTCTCTCTCTCTCTCTCTCTCTCTCTCTCTCTCTCTCTCTCTCTCTCTCTTTCTCCCTCCCTCCCTCCCTCCCTCCTCTCTCTCCTCTCTCTCCTCTCTCTCCTCTCTCTCTCTCTCTCTCTCTCTCTCTCTCTCTCTCTCTCTCTCTCTCTCTCTCTCTCTCTCTCTCTCTCTCTCTCTCTCTCTCCCCCTCCTCTCTCTCTCTCCCTCCTCTCTCTCTCTCTCTCTCTCTCTCTCTCTCTCTCTCTCTCTCTCTCTCTCTCTCTCTCTCTCTCTCTCTCTCTCTCTCTCTCTTTCTCTCACCTCTCTCTCTCTCTCACCTCTCTCTCTCTCTCTCTCTCTCTCTCTCTCTCTCTCTCTCTCACCTCTCTCTCTCTCTCTCTCTCTCTCTCTCTCTCTCTCTCTCTCTCTCTCTCTCTCTCTCTCTCTCTCTCTCTCTCTCTCTCTCTCTCTCTCTCTCTCTCCCTCCCTCCCTCCCTCCCTCCCTCCCTCCCTCTCCCTCTCCCTCTCCCTCTCCCTCTCCCTCTCCCTCCCTCCCTCCCTGAAGGCTGTACTGTAGGGGAAGGGCTGCATTGCAGTAGAAATCGTATGCAAGGCATCATTTCCAAAATGGGAGCCTTGACCCATGCTGCATATTTAAAATGGCGGCCAAACCAATGCAGCATGTCCCTGCAGGCAGATATACACAGGTCACCTAAATAGTGAGGTCCCTATGGTGCAGGATGACCCAGGCGAGGTCAGTCCCACTCGTGACCCTCCGTGCCATTCACTCTCACAGATCTCCAATCAAAGTGTCTGTCTTAAATAGATATATCAAACACTTGAGCAGACTTATCAGATAATATAGTGAACTTATGTAAACTAAATAAGAGGCCATTATCCTTACTCTCTATGTATAACTGTACATTAATTCTACTGTAATTATTGTAATTTGGAAATATTAAGACTGTATGAGATATTCATTATAATTTGAATCAGCACTCCTGTCCCATTGACTTAATTCTAACTGAGTAGGCCTAATAGCACAAGTAATTGTTAGCCATTCACCTATGTAAAAGAAGGGGGCAGGTAATAGAGTAATTATAAAAAAAAAAATATATATATATATAAGTAATTATAAAAACTAGTATTAATAAGGGAGTTAGTAGTTACAAATAGTAACTCTTGTCTAGTGAGGCACTCTCTGTGCTCTACTAAATATACATAATGTAATTCATTAGTGCTGTACTCTGTCTTAGCTTCTTTAAATCATTAATCTTTTGTGACAAGAAAAACCCTTAATGCAGTTACTTTGGAAAAGGTTTTCACTGAATATGTAGCATGTGTTTGGTACTTTGTGAATAATGTTTAATGTTCAAGATATGCAGATATGTATGTGTATCCAGGAATCTGTTTATATATTGTCATATTGCCTTTGTTTCTGCAAACAGTTTTATTTGTCATTCTTGTATATTTCTAATCAGCTGTTAACAAACTGCACCAATTTTTCTGTGGTTTTTCCTTTTGCCTTATAAGGTGTATTGCACTTGCTCAATCATTTATCTGTAGCTGTTGTTTTTCCCTTTAAGTTATGTAATTTATGTTCAAATAACTTTGATGGGGAAATTTCAACCAAGTGGATTTTCTGCAGTAGTACAAAACTTACCATAAAACATCACATAAGCCATCCCTTTCACGTAAATCTGTTACCCACATTTCCAAGTTGGTAGGACATAACAGTTACAACAGCATAAAATAATAAGCAAAGAAAGAAAGAAAAAAGATAGTCTACAGTCTCTGGCCTTGATGGTTTTGGGAAAACAGGTTCCATATGGAATGAGATGAAACAAAAGGTTGGATATTTCACTTTAAAATGAACATGCAGTAGCATAAGTGGCACTAGATGGTTATTTTTAATAAATATACCTTTCTGTGATGCTGAGCAGAGAAGGAGGCTCAAGATAAATTTGAATTAGACTCTGTGTTTACTGTTTTTCTGACACAGAAAAATAAAAAGCCAGGTTGGATGTGTGATAATAACCCTTTCAGGACTCATACATAATCTACAGCTAGGCTATAAATATGCTCAGCTGAAAGCTTTCAGAGCAAAAATATAAACTTATTTAATCCCTTCCCTTACACACACACACACACACACACACACACACACACACACACACACACACACACACACACACACACACACACACACACACACACACACACACACACACACACAAATCTGCCCAAAAATCAGCTAATCAAGTCAAGGCTGACAGGATGCAAGAGATCCTATTGTTTTAGATAAGGAATAAAATCAAATATCTGAAACGGCAGCCTGTCACTCTACTTACTTATTCAACTTAATTTATATAAGTCATAGCATAGAACAAATAGAATTTTAGCTTTGCATATATGTATCAAGTAAATTCCAACTGTTACTAAAGATTTCTTTAGAAGAGCCAGATGTGTCTATTCACTCAAATAAAATTTTTACTTTTAATCAATATACTGTCATGAGGTAAAATATGGATGATAAAATGCATGAATTATACTCTATCTTTATTTCTCAGACACAACTTCTAAAAAGTAGAGATTAATTTTCTTTTTCCCTTTTTTTTTAATGGATTGCATTACCACATAACACCCACACAATATCTGAGAATTGGGCTGACTACATCTAAAGGGCATCAACTGAAGCAGCAGCAGTGGCTGTGATGTATTTGCTCTGAACACCATCTAGTCTGGTCAGCAGAGAATACCAGCCACTATGCAAAGCAGAAGCAGTTGTGTAGAGAATCTTGATCCAGCATGTTCACTTTTGTTTGAGTCTGAAGCGATGGTTTTGTCCTCATAAACCGCATGAACCTCGCTAATCAAGTGACTATCATCAAGATAAACAGAGGTAGGTAGTCATTTAGCAGTCAAGAGGCTGCTTAGAGACAAGGCCTGGAAGCTCCAAGCCACGGGAAGTGAACAAAGGGCATATTGGGTAATCTTGGATATGGTCTGCACAAAATAATGTTTTAGCTTCCCACTGGGTGATTATATACATTTGGGTGTGAAATACTGCAACAAAAACAAGAAAAATGCAGTCTACAATGATACTGTTGTACTGTAAGCAAGGACATAGATGGTAATAAAAAATCATGTTCCAATTTCAAACTTGATCTTAGTAATGTACCGGACTTATTTAGAGGCAAAGGAGACAGGAGAAAGATAAAAGATTTTAATGTGATGCTTTTTGCCCTAGTTAGATCTAAATTCCTTTCTTTTTTGTTCAGAGTACCCACAAGACTGTACTGCAAGTAAGTTGAAAATCTAAAACTTAAGAAACAATTAGTCAATTCAGAAAAAAATGCCTTAATAATATGCCATGTTGCTTGATCTTACAACAGAAACCTTGTTCACAGATTCTCAGGACCCCTATGATTACTTGCAAAGAACTTAAATGAAAATCATGGCCAAACTGTAGGACTGCTGATCATATTACAAAACAACTGGGCACTGTTTAAATTACATTCACCATGAAAGAGTACAGACAGCTGTGCGACTTCCATGTGCATAATCTTTTAAAAATGACAGTATGGACATCTCAACACCTAAGACCTTGGCAAATACAGGGCATGAAGCACGTGATGGTATAATATCAACTGATCCATGATCCCTAAGGTCATGGATCTTACACCGTATGCCCAACAGTGCTTCTTGAAGGCGAGTTGTATACAGGAGAAATGATGATTCTATAAATTCTCAAAGAAGCCCAATCTAAAGCTTATTTCATTGATCACGCACAACACAAAAACACACTATACAGTTATCAAACTCATGATATGGGTCTTAACCATAAAACACTGACTCATTAAAAGGTTGTGACTATTTAACATTGGACTCAAGATGTGGGCATGGCAGTTATCAGGCTATGATTAACTTAAAAATATAGTTAGTTTGATTTCCTTACTAGAAACAAACCCAAATTAAAGTCTGAACATAATGGCAGTGTTGATAGCAAAAGTTAATTAACATAATAAACTTAAGTTACACAACTATTTTACATCTTAAGTAAGAAGTAAACGTTCATCCTGGTAGCACCATTGTCAGCTGAAGAAAATGAAATCAACAATTGAAACACAATAATAATAAGGATGATAAATGAAAAAAAAGAAAAGAAAATATTAAAAAAAGGAAATAAAGCTGCAAATTGGTCTTCATGCAATCACAAGGCAATATTGTTTTCTTCACATTTTCCTTTCTTAGCAAAAATATTACCAAAGGTCGTAACTTCACACACACCAAAGAAAAATAATAATCATATTCAACAAGAGTATATCAATCTGTTTATGAGGCTCACCTATATCATGAGTAAAGACAAGCGTTGTATTTGGGGAGCACATACACCTTTTGAGAGCTCACCACCATTGTGAATAAGGTTAGATATAACACTAAAAACAACAACATGTTACAAGATGTCACATACAACACCACCAAGCATCTGGGGAGACACACATAGAAGCTCTCACATCACAATAAATGTCACAGACTTTGTTTTTTTGTTTTGTTTTGTTTATTTTTTACTTTTTAAAACTATTGCTTCAAGTACAACAATTTTCCCATTAGAGGGTCTCAACAATCACAAACTTACATTTAGAGAAACAATGTGTCCTTTTGGCACAAATATTGCATGAAGTGCATAATATTGCTGTTATAAGTTGATTATAATAAAAATAATGTTTTAGTGCTTACAAAAGCTATTTGAGATAGAAATGTTGAACACCCTGGATTGGTTGGACAAAAAATAAAAATAAAAAGGGAAAAAAATAAAAGAGAGCAAAAAAAATTGTGGCAGTTTGTATCAGCTGTCTTGCAGCTAATGGCTGGGACAACCTTCTTTGATAACACTGGAATTTCATGGACTAGGATATTTAGAAGATACATATATCATTGTAGGACTATTGGCAATAGGAGGCGGCAGGGGGAGCATGCACCTTTTAGCCTAATGGGCACGCTCACTGCAACAAGGCACAATTATCCCTTTAGGAACCTATTTTTCTATGAATCACCCAATACTACTATTTGCCTGTTTAACTGGAGGGACAAATATCTATATATATTTTTTTTATGAGTGAGATTTATTTTTCATTATTATTTTTTTTTCTCTCTAATTTTTTCATTTTAATTTCTTACAAGGCTGTGGTTGCTAATATGCACACACACAAAAAACATTGAGTTATGCAAAGGGTGGGTAGTGTTGGCGCCTTGACACGTGATGAGGTCGGGTGATGATGGAAGGGAGGAGTGGCAGGTTTAGGTCTCAATGCCTTGCATCCTTTTTTTTTTTTGTTTCCCCCATTGATTGTTGGCTGGTTGGTTGGAAGACTAGTCCTCACACTGGCAACAAAATGTAATTTCTTTTCTTCTCCTTAGCTCTGCATACTACCCCCTTTGGCGTCCCCTTCCCTTTCCTCTTCCTCCACGGATTCTGCTTCCGCGGGGTCTGCAAGCAAAGAAATGCACTGACACAAAGGTTTCACATGAGTCTATCACACTACTGATATCACTATGAACTTAGCTGATGAGACTATCCATACAAAAAGTATTCAAAAATGTTTATGAAAAATGAGTATTTAGGATAAATAACATATTACAAAAAAGCGGAGCTAGCAAACGCATGAAAAATATTATACATTTTATGTGAAAATAAAGCAAGCCAAATTTCTGAAGGGTTCTTTATATCTGCATTAAAGTGTTTGAATCTCATGTCCTACATATACACATAGCCTCTCTCTACTACTATTTGCCTGTTACTAAATGAGAGAAAGAGAGAGAGGGAGGGAGAGAGAGAGAGAGAGAGAGAGAGAGAGAGAGAGAGAGAGAGAGAGAGAGAGAGAGAGAGAGAGAGAGAGAGAGAGAGAGAGAGAGAGAGAGAAAAAGAGAGAGAGAGAGAGAGAGAGAGAAAGAGAGAGAGAGAGAGAGAGAGAGAGAGAGAGAGAGAGAGAGAGAGAGAGAGAGAGAGAGAGAGAGAGAGAGAGAGAATGAAAGAAAGAATGAAAGAATGAAAGAATGAAAGAATGAAAGAATGAAAGAATGAAAGAATGAGAGAGTGAGTACCAGTGTGACTACATGTACTCTGTATGTAAATGCAAAGATTAATCACACACTCACCCATTCTTTTCTTTGAAAATTATTTCAGATGAAGATATAGACATAGGAGATTAGTAGGGAGGCAGCCAATTACCTTGTAAATCATTGTTAGTAAATAAGAAGCACTGTTGTAAAGATGAGGAAGAACGGGAAGCTCGTTGGTCTCCATTTCTCATTACACAAGAAATAGGAAGAGGGAGAAGAGGAAGAGGAAATGGAAGAGGAGGATAAATAAGACGAGGAGGAGGAAGATGGGGAAAAATGGGATATGGAATACGTATTTGTTGATTGCGAATTATTATTGGACTGGAGGAAAGAGGCCGGCGAGGATATTAGTGAAGAAGACAGACTTGATTTGGGATAATTTGTTATGAAGTTGGAGAGGTCAGGGGCCTCTCTTCTGGTTGTCTTGCGATACCTGAGGAGAGGCAGCAACACCAGTGTTAGTGAAGCAAATAAAAAAGAAAAGAAGATAGAGAGAGGGAGAGAGGGAGAGAGGGAGAGAGAGAGAGAGAGAGAGAGAGAGAGAGAGAGAGAGAGAGAGAGAGAGAGAGAGAGAGAGAGAGAGAGAGAGAGAGAGAGAGAGAGAGCAAGAGAGAGAGAGAGAGAGAGAGAGAGAGAGAGAGAGAGAGAGAGAGAGAGAGAGAGAGAGAGAGAGAGAGAGAGAGAGAGAGAGAGAGAGAGAGCAAGAGAGAGAGAGAGAGAGAGAGCAAGAGAGAGAGAGAGCAAGAGAGAGAGAGAGAGAGAGAGAGAGAGAGAGAGAGAGAGAGAGAGAGAGAGAGAGAGAGAGAGAGAGAGAGAGAGAGAGAGAGAGAGAATTACATGACTGAAAATGATGCCACTTGCTTTGTGAGGTAATTAAACTCCTACAATTATTTTACATATATGAAAAAAGGGTACAGAGTTTAAAGATGATGGTAAAAACTGTATCCCATAAAAGTGGTACAGCACTTAATAATTACGAAATAAAACTAATCCTTTTAGACTGAACTACATTATGTCAAGAAATGATCATTCTCAATCTATTGGCTGCAAACAATATCTAACCTTCTCATAAAGAGGTTTTTGATGGATGAAGAATGATCCCTCTCTGTCGGAAAAGTCTGGTGCAAAGGTTATGGCGATCAGGTGTGAAATAATCATAAATATCCTAGACGAGTTTGTGCTTTTCTCTTTCTTTCCGAAGTTTTTGTTATGGTCAAATCATTGAATATTGGAAATAGGCTTATAACCTGATTGCTATAACTTTGATGGCCAACCCTGAGGAACCACGCAATATGCCCAAATTAATGTGAATCTACGGCAATAATGAGTTGTTTTTTGTAAATACCTTTCTAAAATTTAGTCTAATATTCATATCAGTCTTCTGGATGTCTTAAGATGCAAATATTTGTTATCATATCTAAGGGACAATAAACATAAAGAAATGCATGCTACAGAGGGTGGCATAAGCTGTGATATCCATTATGTTGCAGTTATGAATATTCATGTAACCCTAATGGTTGTGAGGGAGTGATGATGAAAGTTAGTAATTTTTAAATAATAATGTTTATAATTTAATAATTAATAAATTTTAGAAATAAAGAAAAAAAAAACATATTTCTAACTGAAGTGTATACATACTCACCCAGTGTGTTTCATGAAAGAAAGTTAAAAAAAAAAAAGAAAAAAAAAGCAGAACAGGAAAACCAAATTACAGACAGTAAAGTTCACAGATAAGAAATAAGGTAACGTGTAATTCACCAAAATGGGTATCACAGTCTGTCCAATTAACATTTATTATAGTGGTCTAATATTGCAAGTAAACTACAAAACTAAATGAATAACATGATTAACCAGGTCACTATCAAAAACAGCACATACGCAATTGTCAAATAACGCAATATAAAGATAAAGCTCATATGAGAGTTACAGTTTTCTTTACTTCTCTGTACAATCATGCCGGTTGAATAAATAAACAAACATGATAAAAGGAAATGATACACCACCTAACATCTTGCAGTGGAAACTGATACTAAGTGCCACTACCATTTACCAACAGATAAGAGCACAAACTGCAATTTAAGCAGAGAAAACTAAACATATGATTATTGAATGACTGGCAATGGTGTTATGCTTGATATAATGTGTTGTCAATATACCTATGAGTTAATGTATGACATCTGGCATGCTGGAAAATATTAGGATTTATGTCTCTGTGCACCTTACTTTTATGCAGTGACAATGACCAGTATTTACTCTTCCTTCTTTGTCATATGGAAATAGCTAAATAAACATTTCATAGCAGTTTAAAGGGTAAAATGGATGACAAGATGCATTTGTACTAATACATTGTTAAGGGTCTTCATTCTGTTTTGGAATATGTATAATTCTGAGTACAGTTTTGACAAGACATCTAACATCTTTAATTTATACTTCTGAGATGTTTTTTTTATGAAGGCACAGTGCAGAGGATATATTTATCTTGTACGAATGTTTTATTTTTTTGTAAGTTTTGTACGTCTGCAAGAAACAGGGTGACAAGATTTTATCTAATCAGTATACAGGCTATTCCTTGTCTTGTTACCTAAAGAAATATAAACATAATACTCCTTACCAACGGATTTTAGACTTGGGGAAAAAATAAATAAATAAAAAATAAATAAATAAATCCAGTCTCTGAAACTGTTTTTTTTAACCTTACCAAAGCCATTTTTGAGTATCCTTTTAGTTGTAAACTTTTCTTGAGGTTTGCTCAGTCCTTTTGTAAGTCCTGTGGCTGTAAGCAGGCCTAGTGTAGTGATTTTTCTCATAGGAGTTGAAAACACGTGAACTGCCCTGATCCTGGGAGCCGGCAGAGCTCCAACCATCAGACCTCCCTGAGTTCCTGCCATGAGACCTGCCTGAGCTCCAGCTGCTAGAACTGCTTGAGCTCCAGCTGCTAGAACTGCCTGAGCTCCACCCACCAGAACTGGCTGAATTCCGTCCCTCAGTGGTGTGCTTCCATCCACTAGAGCTGTTTGACCAGGGGTGGAGGATTCAAGGGCAGTCATCAGCATGGTGTACTATGGAAAGGGGCTATGCGGCGTCCTTGGACATTTAGTTAATTCTGACAGGTTAACTCTAAAGGGTAAGGGCATGATGCAAAAGGACAATAAATGCAGAAGCAGCTGATATACAAAGAATAACAAAGCTTTTGCACTGCATATTAGCTTTGAATGTCACAAGCTTTCTTTCTAATATTCTCTACAAAATACAATATCTTGAATAAGAATGGATTGTACACTTAAGCTGCTTTGTCTGGCATCTCACTACCTAGTTCAATGTAATCAGTAATTACATTAGGTAAATTAAGGACTGCTTTAAAGCTACCTGCTTTATGCACTGTCTGGATTTAAACAGTTATCTTGCATGCTCAATATTTTTTTCTGCATTTACATGAGGGCAACATGCTTGAAATACAACAGAACTTATGCATTTGATCTACTTTTATACACACATGACAATATTCTAAAACTTCCACAAAAAACATAAAAACACAGTCTCTAAATACTACCTTTCACAAGACAGTCTGTTAAATGCTTGAGAACAAGTTATAATGCATTTGTAAATTAGAACAAGGAAAAGACATAAATAAAATACTTTTTGGAACACCTATGCTACAATTGCTATTGATTTCTTTCTTTCTTAACCAAAGCCCTTACCTTGGACAAGTATTCACATTGACGCCAGAGAGAGCACGATCCATAAAGTTGATTGACTGTTCTTCGCCAATTGCCAACCTGTGAATGCAACCTTGGAAGCCTGTCGTGTAGACATTATCTGTCATGAGAGCCAGGTCTGGGACTCCTCCTGCAAGCCAAGCAATGTACAGTGATACATTAGGCTAAAATAATGCAGAGCAATATAAAACAAAAAAGAGAAAAGCAATATATATTTTCACTGTAAGTAATGTAGTTTTTTTCAAACAAATATTGAGCTTATACTTAATTTTTGTATTATCCATAAGTTTATCATGTATATCAGAAATAGAGAAAATATTTTTAAAACGCCAAGAGGGAGACCCTGGGTTTTGGGATTTCTACCTAATACTGAACAGTATATAAAAGTCACACACTAGTAAAACACAAAGGTAAACAATTCAGTCATGCAAGATATGAGCATCATAGACCCTCTCATAGGGAGCTCTGCTTGCCTAACTCACTTTCCAAAAGAGGTGCTCATTCTCCTCCTTCCTAAAATCCGGGATGGGCCCACGTCTGTAGCCATTAGTCAGAATAAAATCTCTTGAACTCAAGACCAATTACTTACCGACATATATATTGCCTTCAGCATTCAGCATATGCAGAATTCCAGGGCTCTGTCCATATTCACGCACTGAACCATCCAACTCAAGTATTCCTTGTCTGCCAGCCCTCTCGACCGTGAGTGTGTGCCGCTCTCCGTCGTCAACACGACTCGGTGACCTTACCATGGCTGGTCCAGTTCCAACATCAAATGTGAATTCTATTATTCCATCCTTAACTGGAAGATAAGAAAATGAAGGGTAAGAAGCAGTTTCGACAAAGGGGACAAAATACTAATCAGAAACATACATATCATACATCTGTATATTCTTACACACATAAAAATGCACACACACATATAATATATATGTATAAATATATATATATATATATATATATATATATATATATATATAGATATATATATATATATTATATATATATATATATATATTATATATATATATATACTATATATATATATACTATATATATATATATATAGTATATATATATATATACATATATATATATATATATATATATGTATATATATGTATATATATGTATATATATGTATATATATGTATATATATGTATATATATGTATATATATGTATATATATGTATATATATGTATATATATGTATATATATGTATATATATGTATATATATGTATATATATGTATATATTTGTATATATATGTATATATATGTGTATATATATATAATGTATATATATGTATATATATGTATATATATACATATATATACATATATACATACATATATATACATATATATATATATATACATATATATATATATATTATATATATATATATATATATTTTTGCATGTATATATATATATATATATATATATATAGATATATATATATATATAAATATATATATATACATGCAAAAACACGCACAAACACATACTTTTGGTTACTGTCCACTTGCATATGCATCTATGGCATTTACTCTTATGAACTGTCCCTTGGGCATAGTAGTCTCTTTTGGGAATCACTTACTGGCAACACTGATGTGGTCCTGTCCTCGGCCAGACACTGTTGGCTCTTGCCCGTACCAGAAGAGAAGTCCATTAGGCTTTATTGTGGAGAATTCAAAGGTGAGTTTCTGAGCCTGTCCGTCTTCTTGTGGCAGCATCAGCTTGTCAAACTCCACCCAGGAATCCCCAGAGAAAGACGCTGATTCCCTTATGTCGACATCTATGGGGGGGAAAGAGGTCTATTAACTGTCTCTTCCTTTGTTCACTATGTTATCATAACTGTATTTGTCCTTGACTTTTTTTCATTTTCTGATATTCAGAAACTGTATGAGAAAAGCTTACAAAAATGAAAACTTGTAAATAAAATTCATTTGTACTCTAAATCAAAATGGTGACATATAAATCATGGTGCACATAAGGGCATCAAAACAAGTGCCATATAAACTCTAATTTCTCACAAAATCTCTAACTTTACAGCTCTAATGGAAAGGAGGAATACAAATACATACTGTGTTCACAATGTTGGCCAGCAAAACCAAGCGGGCAGTTGCAGGAGTATTCATTTCTTGATCCAACACATGAAGCACCATTTTTGCATGGTCGTATAATGGTGCAGACACCAGGCTCCATCTCACACTTGTGGCCACTGGGATATCAAGAGAAAGCTTTATCATATTTCTGACTACCTGTGATGGAAATCTTTGCTTATTAGAGCTAAAGTCCCTAGTATATTTTCTACCATGTTAGAAAATCTGTCTGTTTAAGAAGAGATACAATGCCAGCAAGTGTTTTAAAAATTTCCACTTTTCTCCTATCTGATAGTCCAGAAAAACAAAACAAACAAAAAAACAGCTGCCTGTATCACCCACAAAAAAAGCACACACAATTCTAAAAAGCATACCTGTATCCCTCTTGACAAGAGCAAGAGAATCCATGTGGTGAGCCTGGATCCTCAGAACACTGTCCATTATTGAGGCAAGGGTTTGTGCTGCAGAAAGCAATGGTGGCACCTCCACACTGTCCAACATTGGCAGAGTCCACAAGTGATTCTGCCATGCGAACTTGTTGGTCCATGATTTTGATCTGAAACACATTGAAAAGAAGTCTTTAGTACTAAAAGCTTATAATTAGTTAAGCTCTTATGTCATGTGGGCTGAAATGCCATATGTAGAGCCTGTTTTTACATAGACAATAGGTAATTTTTAAAAAATGAACAGGATCTACAAACCTGATGAGACTTATAAAAAGGGGGGATTTGAAATAAGATAGCATTCCTATCATAAATAAATTGTCCCAGATCAGATCATAATTTCCACATTTTTAAAGGTTTTAAAGCATTGTGTATGGCATTACATTCACAATCTCTGCAAGATGAAAAATACCAGAAAGAGAATGGATACCTCTTTAACACATCCTTTAAATCCATCCTCCACTCCAACTTCAGGTGAAATTTCCACACGAGTATTGTCGACGCCTCCAATGTACAATGGGGTGATCAGATTCAGCCCTCTGTTTGAACCAGGGGATTCCGTATTTTGCATTTGGCCTCCATTGATTGTCATGGATCCACGACGATCAGTTCTGTTGGCACGTACCTGAAAAAAAAATATATATATATACATATTGGCATTTATATACAAATTCATGCTTTCTTATCTAATCTAATACTCTCCCTGATAAAAAACACTGTCAGTTCTAATGATTTTAATAGCTTGCACTGTATCCTACTGATGGCAGTACAAACAGCTCTTCTAGCACTGGGACTTACTTCGACCCATTCATCCTGCAACAATGGTTCACTCTGCAGAGTAGCAGTGCCACTTCCTGTGTTGAAACGGAACTCCAGGCGCTTGTTTCGAATAGCTAATGATGCAAAGTCACCTTCTCCACGATACTTCTGTGAGCAGTACATCAACAAACCATCCTCCAAGCTCTGCAAAAAGAAAAATAAATAAATGAAAATGAACTTACCACA